CTATTGATTTCATGCTGATGAGCCTACTTAAATTACTTTTGTGCAGTATTTTTTTTTGATCAGCCTGGTGAAGCCCATGCTGTCCTCTTGCTGACAGACAGCTGTTCTGATGAGAGACTCTGCTGGGAGGTCTGAGTCAGTGTGGACTGAACAGATCAAACACGCCGTGCACATGTGCCACTCACATCTGGTTAAGTCCCAGTTTGAAGTTAGTAGTGGCTGAAACCCGCCATCCGGTCCTCCTTTAAGTAGAAGGCTACTAGCAACTTTAGCCCAAGAATAAGCTGACATTAGGCAAGCGAGTGAGAGAGCTGAACTGTGCATGAAGTCCAACATAGACATTGCCAAAGAGCAGAAATTCTTCATCAGAACAAACATGGGCTACTAATAAATGATGTACCCAAATGGCAAGGCATGCACACATTTATCATATTCTGTACGTCTCCCTCTCTCTGAATCTCATTATACATAGAGACTATGCACATTGGATGGTAATGGTATTTAAAGGAACTTGTGAAATATACAGATTCTTTTGCTTTACATTGTAAAACAGAGGTGGTACCACCAAATCTGGCACCAGTGCCACCATCTGAGAGACTTGGTGGCACCAGTGCCACGAGTATGAGATGTTAGTTAACCTTCATTGAAAACAGGACAACTGATATGACTGTCTCTGTAAAATTCTAAAAATAATGTTAAATTGTGTTTCTGATTTACTGGGCAAGCAGGGAAGAGTTGGTTGGTTGTGTTTGGTATTTTGCCATCTTTCGAACTGGCTTATAACTTGTCATATCACTAGCACAAGTTGCAAACAGGCAGCCTCCTGTTAGCACTAGACTTTATTAGAACCAGGTTTCAGTGGTACCACACACATACAAACAGCAGGCCCTGCATCAAAGGAGGTTTTATACAAAGGGTTGTCTCTGTCTTCCTATCAGTGTCTGCTAATGATGTATGCCACACACGTTTTTAACATTGACACCCTCCGCTCCCTATCAGTCATTCACACTCTTAATCCCTGCTTCCATTTCTCTCTCTCTTTCTCTCCCTCTCACCCTCTCTCTCTCCTTTTGCCTTTTGTGGTGTTTGTTTGGCTGCTGGGTTTTGTTTGTTTATTGTTTCCAGATGGCAGACACAGACTTCATTTGTGTGGCTTTCAAGTTCCCAGAGAGCTTTTTACTGCCTTGGCTCAAGCGCTTATCCTGTTTCCTCTAGCTGGGCTTTATGATGGGCCCTTTATACACAGCAACTGGAAGCAACTGTCACTATCAGTCTGCATTTTGGAGAACAGGAGAAAGCTTAGAGAAATCATCTTTTTTTTTTGTTTGTGCTCTCCATTTAAACATCTTCATTAGTGACAGAGTAGTCACACTGCCAATGAGAGAAGCAGGTTTTTTTTTTTTCTTGTAGTTTTTACAGGCTTTATGGAATAAGAGAGAACACCTTTTGATCATGTTCACTGGTCTGTTCTTCACCTGCATCATCAACAATCCCACACACAAATGGGATAAAATGTGCAAAACTAATTCTTTGCTGACATGACGGGTAGCATGCTCACAGTGGTGATGAAGCTGGTAGTGTGTTGTGTTAGGACCTTGCTGAGTTGAGTCTGGGCATCATTAAATGCTGTGACATCACTTATTGACAGGAACCCAAGAGGGCGACTCACCCAGTAAATGTGGGGGAGGACCAATGCATGTCTTGACTCATCGGATGTGGGTTTAAGATCGCAGTAATCAAAGCTCTCGGCTATATAAAACCCTCCCTTTCTCCTTAAAGAGGCCGTTTCTGCTGTCTGCTGCTGAATGAGTGATTACCCTGGCATTCCAACCTGCCTAATCCCATTTCTAGTGATGAATTCCCCCAGAGTAGCAATGGCTGAGGCATTGCATTCACTGATCTTCCCCCCAAAAAACAGTCACTGGGAGGAACTGTTAACCTGTTTTGCTGTGGCATTAACAAATAAGCAGACCGCTTTTCTCAGTCAAAAGCATTGATGGTCGTAGCATGCATCTCGGATGACATCAGCTGTAATCGCTGGATAATTATGTGTTTGTTTACCGTCTGGCAGGGTCCATGGTGACATGCCAAGATTGCAGCAGTACTGCCTCATAAGTTGCAAATGACAGCACAGTCGTTGCACTAACCCGCTTGTGACCTCGCAGAAGTGGATCTGAGCTGAAGTGTGAGGGGATCTGACTTGAATGTTCACATAATCTGTGGTGTTTGTGTTTTACCAGCAATAAGCGCTTGGCTGGCCGGCTAATCTCATCAGGGTTTGAGCTCTGGTGCTGGGGTGAGCAAGAGGACAGACTAGAATGACCCATATCTCTGCCTGGATGGCTGCAACGCCCCAGCTCCGCAGTGCAGTTCCATCAGTTTACTACGAGGCCCTTTGCCAGGGTGTTTACTACTGAACTGTCTGGCACAACAAGATAATGCCTGTACTAATGCCCTCTAAGGACACAGCCACTCTCACTAAGGAGGGTTTGCTCTCTTTCATAAAGCCCAAGCGCTTGCATATCATCATAGAGTAATAATGAAATTATAGACTGGGTTTGCATAGTGACGGGTGTCTTTTTTATTTTCAGAGTGAATTTAGCCCTGTGTGACAAGATTACTTATTGCTGGAGTAACTTTGCAGAGCTGTGCAGTCCTGTGTCAAGGTACTGCAAACCTGTTACAGCATCTTATCATCTTTAAAACCCCCTGAATACACTCCTCCTAATGAAATTTCCCAATTAGTTATAAAAATGTAGTTGTCTAAGTTATTGTTACACAAGAGTAAATTTTATGCTTAGGAGGTTGTATAAAAGGCTTGTTTGTGGTTGTTCACTGTATAAGACCCTGTGTTAACACATTATTGTTTTAGTGAACCGACACTGTTGCACTCGCTCTGCTGCACCCATGGGAGGTCAGAAACCTGCTCAGTCCTTTCCTTCAACTCACATCCAACTACTGCACACACAGGAAACAAATCTGCAGCTGGCTGTTTGAAGGTCTAATTTAAACTAGTGGATATTTTTGAGCCATTTCAATCCCTTGATATCTTTGTGTGTGTGGACACAGGGGCATTATAAAGGAAGTTCCATTATGGGAGGGATGGATAGTTTTCCTATTTTGCTGTTGAGATGTAATTCTAAATATTTAGCTTTCCATTTTATAACAAGGCCAGTCATTGATATGGGTGTCAGGAGATGCAGCACAACCCTTTTGATCTGAAGTTCATATTTAAGGTTATGTTTCATTAGCCTCACTGGGTTTCAGATGGAGAAAAAGTTAGTATCTCTTCACACCATAACAGATCTACCACAGTCATGAAATTGTAAAGGAAAATGTATGACTTCTTACAGTTCCTCTTGTGGTTCGCCTGCTCTGTTAGATTTTGGATGTAACTGAACCTTCCAAGTGCGATCTAAAATTTTTAGGGATGTAATATCACAATGGAAAACTGTCTCAATACTGTCCTGGGACTGTGACGTATCTACCAGTATATCACATATGATTATTTAGCATAACTTGGGTTGTCTATTGTTGACTTTTAGAGTTGTTGTATGGCAGTATTTTAGTTCTCTTGTTTCAAGAAATGACAAGGGTGGAAAGGAAACTGACAGTCAGAAAACAATTTGCAATTACTGCTGGACAAAGGCAATACTAGCCTGGTTTTGGACTGAGACGGTCTTGGCTGTCTTGCAGAAACAGTCAGGACATGGCTGTGTGCTACACTTTCACGGAGATGTGCAAAATAAACCGGATGCACTTACGCAAAACCAGCAGTTTAGTAACAGGCCCTAATGTCTTTTTTTGAGGGGGTGGGGAGTATACCACAAAAGCTGATTTATTTTTTAGTAAAGCACTTTTTTTTTTCCTTCAGTTTTTCTGATAAATATCAGATTGCAGACATTTTATCATGGCAGTGTTGTATTGTGAGTTTTTAATATTATTCCATTCCTAAAAATGTATATTCAGTTGATGGTGATGGTAACTTGCTAACTTCCCTTCCAAACCCACAAAACCAGGCATAGCTCTATATGGTAATAAATTCTTTGCAATTCTGAAAGTTGACCCCACCTGATAAATGCTTGTAGATTTAATTTCAATTTTAACTTGGGCCTTCCTGACTTCAGAATTTTGGTCTAGCACGTTCACAGCTGTCACACTTATTGATCCAACAAAATGCAACCTAGGCTTATTAAACCAAAAGACTAAAAACATGGTTTGCTGTTATGTTGAGGACTAGAATACAGACATGCACACAATCAACATTGTAAGTTTATTTTTGATGTACACTGATTGACAGAGCCTCCCACCTAATGGTTACCAATAAACCCCAGTGGAAAGACTGTTGTACAGAAACTGGCCTATGTTCCTTCTTATGGTTTGACAGAAGTCTGTTTTGAATTAACTCCTGTTTCTGTTTTTGATCTAAAGGTACCGCCTGATGCCTTTTTATAGTGGAATATATTTAAAGATGTCCCCCCTGTTACAGCTCACATTGTAGGAGTATATAGTGTTTTTGCTCCTGAACCATGTTAATCATGGCAAGTGAACTATGCACACAATCGGACAGCAGTATAGGCCACAAGTAAATTGCCGTGCCTTTTAGTCCCATCTTTGATGATGCGGTACTTGCTCAGGCTTTTGTCTCCAGTTTGGGGCACAGCTGTCAGGCTAGGTGCTATCCACACTCCCCTCCCAAAAACCTCAGGCCACGCGCTGTTGAACCCCAAACACTAAATAGGAGCATTAGACACACTATGTTAAGGGCTGCTGGTGTTTGAGCTGTGGCTGTGGGTGCGTGTCTTGTCCCATGGCTAAAGACATGCACATTAGCACACCCACACTCACAACTGCACACCATACTGCAAAATGTATCTTCTACTCTGTACCCTTCTGTAAGACAACAGATTTATTCTTTTGTGCCAAACATCCTATTGCTGACTTCTGTTGTGTCTGATGGCCCTTGACCCCTGTCTCTACTTTTAATTTCCTCCGCCCAGATACAGATCTGTGCTGTGAGAATACCCACAAGACCTGTGTATGCAGTGTTGCAGATTTTGATTATGCACCACCGGCATCACACCTCAGCGGGGTATGTCCAAACATGAAAATTAATTCACAGCTAAATGCTGCTATATGCAGTCTGAGAGCATTAAGAAAGAGAGCCTAAAGGCAAGCGGGCAAAGCAGTGTTCATTAATGTGCAAAGCAAATGGAACAGTTACTTCTCCCTTGCCCCTCCAAACAACACACACAAACACAGTGGTGGTTTCAACAGAGGGAAGAGCCCTTTGATTGTGGTGAATTTAAGTGGGCATACAAATTGACCTAACTAAAATAGATGTAAAATATTTCTAGAGCTGCTTAAAAATCAAGTTAATGAAAAACAAGAGTGAAATTGGCATAATGAGTAAACTCTAACTGTAAACCAACCAAGTACTCAGGAGAGTCACTTCAATCAGTGAACCACCTATAAAACAAACTTGTTGTCCACCAGCTTTGATTTTCAAGTTTTGTACTTTTTCTGTGCGTTTTATGGAGGAAAAAAACAAACACTTGTCCTCATTTTGCCTTATCTGGTTGAAGGTACTCTATAGATGTGACTTTTAGTTGTAGGTATAGCATCCTTTTACACTTTCTGTTATGAACTTTAGCATGAAAGTACACAAGCATGACTTTGTCTCAGATCAGTGCAAATAGAATTGCCCCCTGATGGTTTGGAATGCACCCAGCTGGCCTTTAAAAGGTGATAATTGGAAAATACAGGACGGAGCCACAGTCAAAAGTGGGGACCTTGTGTTAGACAGTGTTAGCCATAGCAAAGATGGAGGAGAGATGCACAAGACATGGGGCAAAAGAAGCCTATGATGGAGCCTAAAATGCTTTATTATATGCTTTCTGTCTGTATTTTGATTCTGCTCTGTGCAGTATGCAAACAGAATCAAGATGCAACTACTATTTGGAGTTTTCAACAAATCCTAGAATGCAACCTCTTTGCCAGGGAGTGTACATGTTACTGTTGTCTTTAGAAGGCATTGTTAAATACTCAAAGACTGGCCAATGCACAGTACAGCAGCATTCTGATACTGTGCTGTACACTGGAGTAAAATAAACTAGAAAAGTCACCACAAAATCAGGTTAAAATTGCACAGTGGTTGTCTGTGCATGGTCACTGAGGTAGGTTTTTAACAGTGGCTAGATGTACAAGTGTATTGTGTACTTGGCTGCAAAAGTGTAGGTGAAGTAATAACTTGCAAACAAGACAAAAGCTTAGGATCAATGAAGTCAAGCTCTCGCTGTCATTGTACACATTACTTCTTCACTTTGCAGTGTTATCTTTACAGAGTAATACTCAAGTTTAAAGGTATTTATGTAATGTTTCAAAGATAAAACGAGTATTTAGAGCACCATCTCTTTGCTCTGCACTAATTTTGGCAAGTGAAAGCACCAAAACAGATGACCTCTTCAGATGCAATGTTTAATTTGTTAATCACCTTTCCAAAACTCAACAATATTCAGTTTAATATGATGTAAGGTCAAGAAGAACAACACGTCTCACATTTGAGAACGTGTAGCCATAACATTATTCTGGCCTTTTTCTCTTGAAAAATGCCAAACTTTTGATTCTGAAAACATTTGCCCCTTCCGTCAGTAGACTGATTGACTAATCATTCTGAGTATGGCCAATGTCAGATAGCGTTGGCAGACTTTGTAAGTAAATTTTAAAACCACAGTGTATAGAGACTCCTTTTCCAAATACAAGTAAATTGTTGGTATGGAAAAATGCTGGCCTTAAATGTTTAAAATGTTTTGTTTTTTGATTTAGTTTGATGTGTGGTCACATCACAGCATCTCGTAAGGTGATCTCCAACTAAGTGCTTTGACTAAAAATATCACTTTAGAGTTTAGTGAGGGGGAAGCTAAAATGCATGCCTTTACTGATTTATAAAACCTGAAAGGAACATTCCTTTACTTCTGGGGAAGGAAGTGGAGTGAGAAGGTCAGGAGCCCTGTACAGGAGCTCTTCCCTTTACAAGGCTACATTCAAAGCGTTTCTTCACTCCTCTCCTTGTGTAAGCCTGTGCATCCGGTTTCCATCACCGTGTTCTCTGCTGAGAGAATGTGACAGTGATAAGGCTCTTTTGAAGTTGAGCTTTACTACAGGACCTATACAGAGGGACAAAGCCAGCAACTCGCTGCTAAAGTGGAGCGAAAACTCACTCGGCTTTATTTTCTGAGCTTCAAGTTTGAGTTTGAAGGAGTCTTCTCAAGCAGATAGGTTCTGGATGTCTTTACTGTATGATTCAGAATTTCTCCCTCTGTTTACAACCAGATACGATTGAATTCTTCTTTATAAAATCAACATATTTTTGTGGACTAATAAAAAATTTCCATTTAACATTTCAAAAACACTTTGGTCATTAGGCTGAACTCCAGTCAAAACAGTCTGACACATGTCAGCTGCCATGCCCTGTGTCAATCAGCAGACATTTCCAGCAACAATACGCCAACACCCATTCTGCACTTTGTTCAGGAAACCTTTTACTAACTCCAAATGGAATCTTCTTAATGACTTCCTGCACCTGATGCCTGCTATCTGCATTTCAGCAATGGTTTGAAATGCACTCCTGACTTTTGACCTTGACATTTTTCTGTTGTGTTCATCACCACTGAGAGTAATGTGTGTGCCAGTGTTCAGGTGAGCTTGGCCTGTGTATTATAGGCTAACTATAGAACTATAGACTATAGAATTAGATTCAACTTTATGCAATGTTCATCGGTAGGGGTTTTCAATTTTGGTTTTGGCAGCAATAACGAAAAATTAGCCGACCGGTTGCTTTGTAGGGAGATCCCTGTGCAGTTAACTAATATGCTAGATTTGTTTTCAGTTGGATTCAGAGTCAGGCATTTGAAATGACATGTAAAAATTTGTAGAAAGCTTTAGGAGGCCTATGGTGGTTACTCTGACAGACGTTGTTTTGCTCACTGTCTACAGTTGATGTATCGAGTGCAAGGTTAACATGACCCTTTAGTCTGAAAGGACCACAGTTATGAGAATAAATACTAGACTGAAAATCACTGGAGTATTTGATAACAGTGGATATAGTCTGGTGCTTATTTTTCCTCCATACAGTTTTACTGTATGAAACCTGTGTTAACTCAAGATTTTCTTTTTTGATGGAGTAAAGCAGAATTTATGGCTGAGAGGGATGGTAGATGTTTCTTATAACCTACTGTGTTTATGGTAGTTATAAGGGTGGTGTTCCATAGCAGCCCGTTAATCCCGTAGCCATGTTCACACTGTGGTCTACCCCATACTTCCCTTAACCATCACCAAGCGTAGCCTCTGGAATTGATGCAGACCATTTTACCTCCATCCTCAAGGACCCCACCCACCCCCAGCACGGACTGTTTATACCCCTACCCTCTGGTCGGAGGCTCAGAAGTGTGAAATGCTGGACCTCTAGACTGAAAAACTCTTTCTTTCCAACTGCCATCAGACTCCTAAACAGCTGACTCAGGATCTACCTCATGTAATTCCATCTGTCCTGTTTACATACTCATTTTGCACATGCGCAATTGCACACTCACTGCTGAATATTTACACTCCATGGCTCCCTTGTAGCATATATTCTGTCTGCATTATATTGTGTTCTTGTTGTATTTTTATTTGCTTCCTTCACTTGCTGCTTTAAAGTGCCTTAGATTTGTGATTTTACTGCCTATGTAGATTTGTGTTATTGCTCATCTACTTTATATTTCACTTGTATTGTGTGGCATTCATGTGGACGGCAAAGTAAGAATTTCATTGTACAGGGAAACACGTTTCCTAACTGTGTATATGACAAACACTTTGACCTTTGCTTTGTTTTTCCACTGTATTTTTTTTCTTTCTGTCGGTCTTTGTTTAAAGGAGGGAGGGGCCTCTCCTCCAGTCAGCTGTATGTTTACACACCTTGCTTGTAAAGCTAATGCTTCAGGTGTGAAGATGTAGGCATTTAACCAATCGCTGGTGACTGCTCTAAATGCCCCCCACCACCACCACCCACCCCACCTTCCTGGTACTTGATCTTAGTACTACCTCCTGAGGGGTGCTGAAATTTAGCTCCTGGAACGCACTTCCAAATCGGGCACAGTGTAGTTGAAACAAGCACAGAACTCATGATGAACGTTACTTGGCGCGACATGTTTCGGTAGGTTCCTGTTATTGAAAAACCCCTATGCACTCTGGAAAACCTGTGTTTGACCAGGTGAATGAACTATAAAAGGGTGTTAAGCTATAGTATTTAAAGGGTTACCATAACATCCTAGGCATTAGCAGCCAGTTCTGGCCATGAATTACACTCTTGTTAATCACAAAAGGTTTATTTTGTCATTGTAAACTGTAAGTTACTGCTTAAGAATAGATTGAATTAAAAAAATCTCCTTTTTCTCAACCTCTGCCCCATTTTGTTGCAAACATTTTTAATGACATTGTCCAAAATGTTTGAACAGCATCAACACTATTTACATATGATTCAGACATAGGTTGAATGTGAGCTCAACATGCTGGGTTATTAGTATGAAAAGGGACTTAGGTGTAACTGCTATAGCTTCTATAATAACATAGGTTATTGTTGACTTTGAATATTCCCTATAATATAACCTTGATTGCCAGGCTAGTTCTAACATATTGAGTGCATATTATACATTATTTCAGGCCGGTCCTGAAACGAGTGCTCCGGGTGTCAAACAAGTTGAAAATGTTGCAGTAAGTTTAGTTTCCATGATCCTCCCAGAAAGGGAAGGAAGGGGCATTAGTTATTGTCCACCCCCACCTCCACCACACCCTTAATAGGCCAGTAAAGGCCAAGGTAGGGTCCTGGTGACTTTCCACATTGTAGCTGAGTCTGTGTTTATATTTCTGAATGTTTCATCTACTAACACATCATCATTAGGTTTGCTAAGTCAGCCAATACAACAGCCTCGGTTCACCATTACACCAACGTTTGTCAGTGGCACATGGAATTCAACTCTCATCATCTGTTGTGTAGAAAACTTGAAGTGTTGGTTGTTTCTGGGATTATATAAATCACAGCGGTTGTCAGTTGGC